GTTACCTTCGCCAACAACGGCCCGACGGATTTCCGTCGAATTGGATGTTTGGCGACTTTACACACCCTTAGTGAGCACAACTCGACCCTGTCCTCCAAGCACAAGCCCCATGCCTGCCGTACTGTACAAGTAACGCAGCACCCTCTGTGCACCTCGGTAGTGCTCAGGGAGGTGTCTCTTGGGAGCAACAAAGCGCGGCAGGATGCTGAGAGGGTACACGAGGTCTGGGCGAGTGCAGGTCATCAAGTACATGAGGCAACCCATAAGCTCTGGATACGGATCAGGCGGTTATACGGACTCGTCCGAAGGTGGAGCTGAGAGCGAGTGGTTTGCAGCTAGAAGAGTGGACTGTGGCAAGGAGAACGAAAAGCGAAAGCGCTGAATGACCTGAGTTAGAGTGATGGTGCGCGTTGCTCTGTCCCGGGTGATCTGCAAGCCAATATAGCTCCCCAACTCATCCTGGTCAGTGCATGTGTGTCTCTTCTGCAATGTTGCATTCACAAGGGTCACTGCCTCAATGACAGCAGTAGGAAAAAACAAGTCGTCAACGTACACCAGGACGTAGAACAGTGGCAGAGAAGGGTCGGTGCGCAGAAACAGTGAAGGGCCAGCAGTCAACGGAGCAAACCTAAGAGCCGCAAGTGTCGTCCTCAGTATGTCGTGGCACTCGCGGGGCGCCTAGCGTAGACCGTAGACTGGCCGCCTGAGGCTCCACTGGGTACCCTCCAGAAATGACCCAGTGAAGCCAGGTGGGCGGCATAGCTAGATCTTGAAGACTGCCCTGCAAGAAGGCTGTCGAGAAGTCGAGGGAGTGCAGCTCATAATCACGTTATGCCGCAATGTGCTGTAACACCCAAAGAGTGGTCATCTTCGGGGTGGGGGAGAAGGTATGGAAGAAGTCGACCCTCTGTCGCTGACTGAAGCCTCGTGCAACGTAAACGCGCCTTGAAGGAAGGCGGAGAACCTGGCGGCCGCTTCACCCTGAAAATCCACATGCCACCGACTATGTTCGCCCCAGGAGGGGGAACTACGTCGACGTAGGTGACTGTGGACTTCCATGAAGCCATGTTCGCATCCATGGCTGTCTCTCACTGAGAGGAGTACTGACCCGAGATCGCCTCTACATGCGGGGTTGGGATGTCTAGTGCATCCGGGTCTCCTTCAGGGCAAAGCGGCATGGAAGTGAGATGAGGTACAGCACCCGCAAGGCATTCAAGCTCAAACGGCCTGTCCTTAAGAACGTGACAGCCAAAACAAGCTCACCTCCGACGAACGGAGGACAGACAGACTCAGACTCCCTAACAAGTCTTGCGAAGTATTCAAGACAACACATAGCAGCTAAGTCAACGAGCTCAGTTACTAAGGCAGACGCAGCAGTAGACTCAAAAGAAGGGTCAGTGATAAGTGTGGCCAGGTTACGCGTGACAGTAGGACTAGCAGCACGAGCCAGGTCAGACGCAGGAGTAGGAAGAGAAAACGGAGGAGTTGAAGGCAGGACAACAATCTGTGGAACAAAAGAAGGACGCAGTGCCATAGTGTGAGTGCCGGGGACAGGTGGAGGGCGAGCACGAGGAGCACGACGAGTACGGACAGGCGTGACAGGACGCGACGTGGTGGTATCGCGGACAAGGGCTAGTGAACCCCAGATTCGAAACGTCGACGCATCGCCAACCTCCCCCGTCCAGCGCAGTGTAGGCAAGGTCTCTGGCACGGAGACACGGGGCCAGATGTTGAGCTAATGCACGGCGTATCGGACCGCAAAAGGCCATAGACAATGGGGAGCATTTGTATTGATCATAGAGGTGCGAGCAGCCGCCAATGTGGCCCTCGGCAATCCCATTATGCTGTGGAGAGGCCGGAAGCGTGAACGATTGAGCGATGCCCTCCCCACGATAAAAGTCATCAAGGAGGTGGGAGAAAAGCTCACCCACCACGGTTAGAGCGCACTCGCAGGACATGGAGGTCGTGCTGGAACCGGGCGCTCAGCTGTTGTCAGACAGTGCGGATCCAAGGGATCAAGACACTGCAGACATCCACCTTGCTCTGCAAGGGGAAGACCATGGTGTAGTAGGTGTAGCCGTCAATGACCAGCAAAAAGTAGTGCTCTCGGCCTTGTCCAGTGACGCGGGCGGGGCCCCACACGTCCATGTGGAGAGTCTGCGAAGGAGCAGTGGTAGGAGGAAGAGAGGAGGAGTTAGGAGCGATGAGCTGCCGCCCCTCAACGCAGGGAAGGCACAGCGGTGTAGGCGAGCGCGGGAGCAGAGACAGGGATCTGGGGAGGCCAGAGACAAGGAGACGGGAATGCATGCCACGCAGATGAGAGGTGTGACCAAAACGGTGGTGCCAGAGGAGAGACGCAGCTATCTGGTTAGACGTAGCTACATGTGCGGACTCAGTGGTCAGTGTGTACAGGCCAGATCCGGGTCTTCGAGTGAACGTGGTGAGGTGGGCGCCAGTCCGTGAGTCCGTACAGATTGCCACAAGCTCACCCCCATGAGTAGTGGTAGTGACCAACTGGTTTTGGAGAACAGCGTTACTCACCAAGTTCGTAGTGAACGAGGGAAGGTAGGGACCTGTGAGTGAGCCGGAAGGGGCCGCCGGGCACGGGAGAATGGTGGAGTCACGTGCAACGACTTGGCCCCCAGAGGGGTCAGCCAGAGTGATCGGGACACGTGTAGTGAGCGGTGTGATTGTGGTGCAGTCGCGAAAGAAGCAGCGAGACGCGTCTTAGTCAAGCGTGAAGGTGTGCAATGCCTCCGCAGGGGCTGCACCTGTGCTAGCAGGCTCACATGCACCTTGATTAGTAGCCTCTACACTACCAGGGATGCGTTGCTGGGAAACCCACTCCCAAAGCTGCTGCGGCAAGAGGGTCTCTCGCTGACGCTTCTGCTGCTGCTGTCCACCCCCAGAACCTCCGCCTCCACCAGTGGCACCACCTGTAGGAGCAGACATACAGGTGCCTATACTCGCCTCCTCGACCAGCTGCTGCAGCTCCCCTAACAACGGACAGCGCTATCGCTGTGGCTGGGTGGCAGGAGAGAGGGACGAGTAGTGTCTAACCACGGCGTCATAGAGAGTCTGGGCCGACGTCACCTGACAAAAGTGGGCCCTCTGGTCGAACGACAGGTCAGCTCGGACGGCAAGCTGTGCGACAGCGTTGGGCTCCGTCCACCGTATGTAGGCAAGGCTGTCCGTCCGGTACCGCCACTGCCCATCCTCGTCAGCGTCAGCAGCAGGCGCAGTGGGAGTCGTTGGGGCCTGAAGGGACCCCGACGTGTGCTCGAGCAGGGAGACCCTATCTATAATGAAACGCCAGAGATACATGCGGAGGCACAGAAGCCACAACCCTGTCTTGAAGAGGCATCCGTCTGCGTCAACCATTAAGATCGGGAGATTGGCCATGACGGGCAGCGGTGCAAGGGCGGCAGTGGCAGCTGCAATGGCAGCGGGTGCTTGTAGTGACAGCGATGGCATGAGCGGCGGCTGCAGGGCATCGGTGGCTGCAGCTCGTGGGCAGCTAGGGCAGAGTGCTCATGGTTCTGCACGCTGGTGGCTAGGGCAGAGCACGGGCAGCTAGGGCAGCGCGCGAGTAGCTGGGCGCGCGGGGCGCGTAAGGTAGAAGGGCGTTGTGGGTGCGGCAGTAGGACGCCCGGGGCGCTCTGGCAGCATGGCCTGTGGGGTGCGCATGGCAGCAGAACGCGCGGGGCGCGCTGGCAGCAAAGCGCGCGAGGCGCGCAGGGCAGCATGGCGCGCGGGGTGCGCGGGGCACGTGGGCAGCAGGGCGCGCGGGGCACACGGGCAGCAGGGCACGAGTGGTGCGTTGGGCAGCAGGGCACGCGGGGCGCGCGGGCAGCAAGGCGCGCGGGGCAACAGGGCGCGTATGGCAGCAGGGCGTGCGGGGCGCGCAGGGCAGCAGGTCACGCGGGGCGTGGGGGCGGGGGGGGGGGGGGGGGGGGGGGGGGGGGCAGCAGGGTGCGTGCGACGCGTGGGGCAGTAGGGCATAGAGGAAGTGGCGCTCGAGGCGCGTTGGAGCGGGAAAAATTTAACCTAAGTGTAGTTTACGCCTTATGGAATGCTGAAGTGCCTTTAGATTTACTCCAACAGATGTTACGCCTTTTATTGTAGGTTGGAGGATTATTATGTTTTATGTATGTAGGTTTGGAACACCATCAGACCTTGTAGACTTCGTGGCGCGTTTCCTTCTGGGCTAATTCTGTTTTTACTGGGTACACAGATTGTATGCCTGACGCTACACGCCAGCGCTACATGGTTGGCTCCCCGCAAAGCGACTCATGTAGACACGTGAGACATGTGGTTGGCGTTGAATGGCGGTGTGGCTGGAAGAAAGGACTTGTGTGGACTTTACACGTACACAATGTGCGGAGCGTAACATGTGGCTCAGACATTCACGAGGCCATTTTGAGAAATTGAGACCTCATGGCGTGTACAAAGTGCTCCACAAACTCGATGTCAAGGCACGTCGGTGAATCCTGACGGTTGGAACCTTTAATCCGAGGGTGGAAATTCACCGACGTTGCTCGACGTCGAGTTTTTGCGCACTTTGCACACGCCATCAGCCTGTGAGATCTGCCAATAAATTCCACTTTCTGACGCCGGTAGCGCTCGGTAGCGCTACCGACTGAGTCAGCAAGCTGACCGCGGGCAAAAAAAAAACCCCATACGCACAGTCAGTGCAATATATTCCCCAACATGTTTCGAACACCAACCAACCTGAGGATTGGAATTTCGGGATGTTGGTTGAGCACACGTACACAACTACGGTAGTCTGTGCAGTATCCAAATACATTCACAGATGACACTGAAATTGTTAGGCGCCCCACCAAGACTTCGCACTACAGACGTGACGCGACGAGACACCCACAGTCTCATCATGGGCTTGTCTTGGAGCAGCTGCGGTCATTATTGTTACATTTAGTAAAGTGGCCTGACAGGAATCGAATAGTTTGGGTTTCCATTTTTTTTTCACTCCGTTCCCAGCCATGGCAAAATTCATCCATCCCCCGTTTCTAGCTGTATTGGTTATGCTCGTCTGCCTCTCAATGCTTCCTCCCGCATTCGCCGCTGGGCCGGTGCGCATCGCTCGCACGCTACAGGCTCAAGACGTATACACTGGACAGCGACAGCTGCGCCGCGACCGTGCGCGAAAACTGACCGACGTCAACAATAGCGGCTCTCAGCCTCCCCTGCACATGTTTGAAACGAAATCCATCTTCGACAAGGAGCGACGCGGGGAGTTCTCGGAGGAACAGCGCGAGCAGGTGGGCGGCGCCGCGGCGTCGTCCGCCATTCCCATTCAATACCACGGTGGACCCGTGATGAGCGGCGAGACGCTGAACGTGTACTTAATCTACTATGGCTTCTGGCCCGCGGGAATCGGGCAGGATGTGATCGAGAATTTCATACAATCGCTGAGCCTAGGAAGCTCCGATGAGCAGGGGGGACCCGGGGATCCGAAAGTGAGCAACTGGTGGGCGACGACTTCGAAATATTACTCGCAGGCGTCTGACGGGTCTAAGGGCGTATTCCTACGGCCTCCTATCAAGAAACCTCCTATCAAGATTGTACCTTTTGCCTGGTAAAAGTAGCGAGAGATTTTGGGTTTAGGGAATTTTCCAGTGAGAGCTTGATAGGAGGTTTTCTTGATAGGAGGATAGGAATACGCCCTAAGACCACCGTCAGCACAGAGGTATGTCGGTTTTATTTTTTCAAAATGTTAATCGTGTGTGAAAATGTACTTTCAGGACGACCAGGCTGGCGCGCATCGATGCGCGCAGCAGGTGGGATGCACTTTCAGTGTTCCATGGTTGCAAAAAAATTGCATGGTGTTGCGGAAAAGCAAAACAAACAAAGACGTGCGGGATTTATCCCAAACTCCAACCCCCTGCCCTTCCAGGTGAAACTCGCACAGGTAGTCTACGACCACGGGTCTCATGGGAAGAGATTAGGCGGCAAAACTCCCTGGAGAGGTGTGTTTTTTCTCCCAGCAAGACTTCCTTTCGTTTATCCCCTTAATATGCCAACATGGACTTGTTGTCTACCCATGATCGTTCTTAATCTCTCGTTCCTCTTGTATCACAGTTGTCATGAGCAACATTGGTGATGGAAGACCGTTCCCCTACGATGCCAATGGCATCTACCTGATTCTCGCCGGCAATAACGTGGAAATTCCTGGCTTTTGCAAAAGCTTTTGCGCGTGGCACGCGATGCATCTTCTCAATTGGAAGCCTGTCGCCTATTCGCTCGTGGGTCATCACGGATTGTGCCCAACAAGCTGCGGGGTGCAGCAGACTTCGCCCAACGGAAAGCCCTGGCTCGACGCGATGGTTTCGGCGATCGCTCACGAGATCGCGGAAGTTGCGACGAATCCTGATGCTCGGAGCGGCTGGTTCGATGCTCACCAGAGGGAAGGCGCTGATAAGTGCAGCTACCACTACGGAGTTACGCAAACAACAAAGAATGAAAAGGGCGAGGATTCAGAGTACAATCTGGTGGGGCTCAACAACATGAAGTTTCTGGTGCAGCAGAACTGGGATCTCTCGACCTGGTCCTGTGTGACGCAGACTACTGAGGGTGCTTTCTCGCTTCTGGCCAGACTTATGACCAGGCTGTTTCAAGCCCCCCATCCATAACTTGGGCGAACATTGGGTGCGATTCCTCACCGACATCTGGCGAATCTTGCGCAGGTGCAGGGCAGGTGTTTTGGCGACATACTTTCCAGAATTCAATAAAACCTACCCAGTACAGCTTACAAATACCAGTTCAGATCTCTCAAGTTCATATTTTACACAAAAGATTTGGAAGTAGATGCAATTTGTTGCCTTTACAAGGTTTGTCTGTATGATGGTCATTTATTCCATTGGTTGAGCGTCCTTCCATGCAGGAGAATCCAATGAAACTTAAAACCCGCAGCCTGAATTACAAAAACTGAGCGAAAAATGATGCGAATCTCCCATGAGTCAACGAGCAGATATGAGACGTCGCAACCCAAAAGTTCGCAGGCAACTTGCTTTCCACCTCAGACAGCTGGAGCAGAGTAGAAAATAACTTCGCCGACAGAACAAGCTAAATTCTCAGACACTCCCTTATAGAATCCAAGCATCGCTCGCACCAGCCAGGCATATCAAGGGAGCACAATTTAGGGACGATCATATACTAGGTGCAGCGCGTATACGCAATCTAAGGGATATGTATGCGCTGACTGCGATTGTGAAGGGGCGGAGAAAATGGACAGAGCGGGAGAAATTAGCGATTCGCTTCCCCCGCCCGTCGCCTTCGCTTTCTCCGCCCGCCCTCGCGTTCCACGCCCGCCGCCCTCGCTTTCCCCGCCTACCACCCTCGCCTCGCGGGTCGCAATCGCCGCCTCGCCGCCCGTCGCCCTCGCTTCCTCCGCCCGTCGACCTTGCTTTCCCCCTCTCGTCGATCTCGTTTTCCCCCTCCAGTCGACTTGCTTTCCCTCTCCCGTCGACTTTGCTTTCCCCCTCCCGTCGACCTTGCTTTCCCCCTCCCGTCGACCTTGCTTTCCCCCTCCTGTCGACCTTGCTTTCCCCCTCCCGTCGCCCTCGTTTCTCCTCCCCATCACTCGCCCAGTCGACCTCTCCTCCCTGTCCTGTCGCCGCGTCAACATCGCTCTCATTCCCGCGGCCAACAGTTCGTCGAGCTTCCATCTTATTCGCCCTCTCTTCCTTTCCCTGTCGCCCATGCCCATTCCCCTCTCCCGCGCCGACGCCCTGGTTTTTCAACCCGCCCTAGTTTCTCCCCCTGATTGCGCTCAGTTTCCCCCCCTGATTGCGCTCAGTTTCCCCCCCTGATTGCGCTCAGTTTCCCCCCCTGATTGCGCTCAGTTTCTCTTCGTGATTGCGCTCAGTTTCCCCCCCTGATTGCGCTCAGTTCCCCCCCCCCCCCTGATTGCACTCAGTTTCTTCCCCTGATTGCGCTCACTTTCCCCCCCTGATTGCGCTCACTTTCCCCCCCTGATTGCGCTCACTTTCCCCCCTTGATTGCGCTCAGTTTCCCCCCCCTGATTGCGCTCAGTTTCCCCCCCTGATTGCGCTCAGTTTCTCTTCCTGATTTCGCTCAGTTTCCCCCCCCCTGATTGCGCTCAGTTTCTTCCCCTGATTGCGCTCACTTTCCCCCCCTGATTGCGCTCACTTTCCCCCCTTGATTGCGCTCAGTTTCCCCCCCTGATTGCGCTCACTTTCCCCCCCTGATTGCGCTCACTTTCCCCCCTTGATTGCGCTCAGTTTCCCCCCCCTGATTGCGCTCAGTTTCCCCCCCTGATTGCGCTCAGTTTCTCTTCCTGATTGCGCTCAGTTTCCCCCCCCCCCTGATTGCGCTCAGTTTCTTCCCCTGATTGCGCTCACTTTCCCCCCCTGATTGCGCTCACTTTCCCCCCCTGATTGCGCTCACTTTCCCCCCTTGATTGCGCTCACTTTCCCCCCCCTGATTGCGCTCAGTTTCCCCCCCTGATTGCGCTCAGTTTCTCTTCCTGATTGCGCTCAGTTTCCCCCCCCTGATTGCGCTCAGTTTCCCCCCCTGATTGCGCTCACTTTCCCCCCCTGATTGCGCTCACTCTCCCCCCCTGATTGCGCTCACTTTCCCCCCTTGATTGCGCTCAGTTTCCCCCCCTGATTGCGCTCACTTTCCCCCCTTGATTGCGCTCAGTTTCCCCCCCCCTGATTGTGCTCAGTTTCCCCCCCTGATTGCGCTCAGTTTCTCTTCCTGATTGCGCTCAGTTCCACCCTCCCTGATTGCGCTCAGTTTCTTCCCCTGATTGCGCTCAGTTTCCCCCCCTGATTGCGCTCACTTTCCCCCCCTGATTGCGCTCACTTTCCCCCCTTGATTGCGCTCAGTTTCCCCCCCTGACAGCATCCTTCCCGCCTACCCTCTTCTCCCTGTTCCTCTCTCTTCTTACGGTCTCCTCCCGCCTTCACCAAGCCAGACTGTCCTCCTCTCTTCCCCCTGTCCTCCTCTCTCCCCCCTGTCCTCTTCTCTCCCCCCTGTCCTCCTCCCTTCCCCCTGTCCTCCTCTCTTCCCCCTGTCCTCCTCTCTCCCCCCTGTCCTCTTCTCTCCCCCTTGTCCTCCTCTCTTCCCCCTGTCCTCCTCTCTCCCCCTCCTCTCTTCCCCCTGCCCTCCTCTCTTCCCCCTGTCCTCCTCTCTTCCCCCTGTCCTCCTCTCTCCCCCCTGTCCTCCTCTCTCCCCCCTGTCCCCCTCTCTTCCCCCTGTCCTCCTCTCTCCCCCCTGTCCTCCTCTCTCCCCCCTTTCGCCAACACCCTGTGACTCACCTGCGTTCCCTCCTTTCCCTGTTTCTAAGTCCTTCCCACCTTCCCTCTCATTGTGAGCTTTGCCTTGCAGCATGAAGCAACCAAGAACGATTTGATTTCATTTGAGGCTACTGTGTGCCCTCATTGTGACATCCAACGGCATATCACAAAATATTGGTGCTGTACTCAAGTTGCTGCTCATGCAGCTGTTATGGTAGCCTCTGTGAGCAAGGGTTTGTAGCCCTTTTAGAGTAGAATAGTATACAAATCAGGCGATAAGATGTGAACCTTTGAGACCAATGTATATTTTATTTGAGATGTAAATATACATGACATAAGCATGTAGTAGTAGGATAAAAGACAAGATTGAGCTTTGCTCTACTCTTGTGTTTCCATTTTGAATCTGCAAGCTGTCCCTTACGCAATGTGGCTTGTCTGGGCCTTTGAGATGCTGAAAACAGGAGCAAGGGGAGGCGGCATGTCCATGCAGGTCGGATGGGCCTCTGTCATGCTCGCCTGGGATAGGACAGGGCGGGGTGAGGGGATAGGACAGGGCGGGGTGAGGGGATAGGACAGGGCGGGGTGAGGGGATAGGACAGGGCGGGGTGAGGGGATAGGACAGGGCGGGGTGAGGGGATAGGACAGGGCGGAGTGAGGGGATAGGACAGGGCGGGGTGAGGGGATAGGACAGGGCGGGGTGAGGGGATAGGACAGGGCGGGGTGAGGGGATAGGACAGGGCGGGGTGAGGGGATAGGACAGGGCGGGAGGGGATTGAGAGTGCTCGTTCGAGGGGAGTGCACATAGGCAACGGAGGGGGAGACGGAAGGGAATGAGGAGGGCGATGGGAAGAGAGTGAGCGCGGGCGAAGCTCAGGGAGTGACCGTGGTTGTGGGCGTGGGCGACGGGAAGGAGTGAGCAGGGTGTGGTGTGGCTCACCTGGTGACTGACTCTAATATGCAACAACACCTGCTCGCCACAGCAGCAGCCGTAGCACGCTCTTCTAATTGTGGCTGCAGAAGGAGGTATGGGGGCGGGGAAGAGGGGAAACAGGGGAGAGGGGGATGGGGATTAATAGGATCTAAGGTTTAGAGGGGAGACAATGGGGAGGGGGATGGGAAAAAACAATTGGGAGGGTATGGGGCGATACAGGGGTGACGTACATGGCCAGGTGTAGCTCGCGAAGTTGCAGCTGGAGAGATGTAGCAGAGGATGTTAGGAGGTGTGGACGGCAGAAGAGGAGACAAAAGGAGGAAGACGCAGGCGGCCTAACCCACACCCTCCCTCCTGCACTCTCTTTTCACCATCAAATCATATTCTTCCCCTACTCCGCCTCACTCTCCTCTCTTTGCCCTTCTTTCCCTGCGAGGAGTCCCTGCAATGAGGCCGCGCAGAGCGATTGGGGGAGGGGAGGGAGAGGTGAAGTGCGGAGCAAACAGGAAGGTGCAGGCAGCTCCCCGGTGCAGCAAAGCACGCGGGATGGGGAGGTGCCGCAAGGCCGAGGACAGTGTGGGAAACACTTAAAGGAGAGGGGGAGAGGACCGGATGGGGAGATGATCGGATGGGGAGGGGACGGATGGGGAGAGGACGGATGGGGAGAGGAGGAATGGTAAGAGGAGGGATGGGGAGAGGAGGGATGGGGAGAGGAGGGTTGGGGAGAGGAGGGATGGGGAGAGGAGGGTTGGGGAGAGGAGAGACAGGGAGAGGAGGGGTAGTAAGAAAAAGGGGATGGGGAGAGGACGGGAGGCGGAATGGGGTGAGGCGGAATGGGGTGAGGAGGAGATGGGGTGAGGGGGGGAAGGGGAGAAGATGAGATAAAGTGAGGAGGGGACGGGGAGAGGAGGAGATGAGGAGACAGAAGGATTGCGCGAAGGCGATGGAAAGGGAGTGAGCGTGGCCGACGGGAAGGGAGTGTGCGTGCTCGTTCGAGGAAAGTGCGCGCGGGCGACGGGAAGGAGTGATCATCCAGGACAGAGGGAAGTGAGGGTGCGCGACAAGGGGGATTGCGCGGAATGGGGTGGGGCGGAAGGGGGTGGGGCGGAATGGGGTGGGGCGGAAGGGGGTGGGGCGGGATGGGGTGGGGCGGAAGGGGGTGGGGCGGAATGGGGTGAGGCGGAATGGGGTGAGGCGGAATGGGGTGAGGCGGAATGGGATGGGGCGGAATGGGGCGAAGCGGAATGGGGGGGGGGGAGAAGCACGGCGGGAGTGGCGGGGCGAGTGAAAAGGGAGGAGGGAGAGGAGAGGGAGCAGGGAGTTGAATTGAGAGGAGAGGGGAGAGGGAGAGGAAGACCGGAGAGGTGAGGGATGGGGAGATGAGGGATGGGGAGTTGAGGGATGGGGAGATGAGGGATGGGGAGTTGAGGGATGGGGAGATGAGGGATGGGGAGTTGAGGGATGGGGAGATGAGGGATGGGGAGTTGAGGGATGGGGAGATGAGAGATGGGGAGATGAGGGATGGGGAGATGAGGGATGGGGAGATGAGGGATGGCGTGATGATGGACGGGGAGGAGAGGAGAGAGCGCACGTGTGTGACGAGAGGGGAGAGAGCGTGGGCGTCGGAGGGGAGAGAGCGTGGGAGTCGGAGGGGAGTGCGCGTGTGCAATGGGGGAAAGCTGCCACTGCCGCTCCCTCCAGGGAGAGGAGGGGGGGTAGAGTAAGGAATGAGAGGAGGGGGAAGAGGGAGAGGAGGACCCGAGACATGACTGCTGGTAGGATGAGGGGGATGGGGTGGGGCGGAATAGGGTGAGGGGGAATGGAGTGAGGCGGAATCGGGTGAGGGAGAATGGGGTGAGGCGGAATGGGGTGGGGAGGAATGGGGTGGGGCGGAAGAGGGTGGGGCGGAAGAGGGTGAGGGGGAATGGGGTGAGGCGGAATGGGGTGAGGCGGAATGGGGTGAGGCGGAATGGGGTGAGGCGGAATGGGGTGAGGCGGAATGGGGTGAGGCGGAATGGGGTGAGGCGGAATGGGGTGGGGCGGAATGGGGTTGGGCGGATTAGGGTGAGGCGGAGATGGTGCCTCTCACGACGTCACGGCGCCCCCGACTCAGCTAGACGACGAGCCCGTGACAGCGGTGTTGGGGCAGGTTGCACGCCCACACTCCTCTGCCCCGCGTCCACCCCGTCTCTAGTGGCATGGGATGGGGTGGGGTTGACGGGGGAGAGGCGGGGATGGTGACGCGGGGAGGGGGACATAGGGCAGGTTTCCGCATCATTTACAGCAACCGCAGCATGGATGGGGAGGTGAGGGATGGGGAGGGAGCGCGGGCGACGGGAAGGGAGGGAGCGCGGGTGACGGGAAGGGAGGGAGCGTGGGCGACGGGAAGGGAGGGAGCGTGGGCGACGGGAAGGGAGGGAGCGTGGGCGACGGGAAGGGAGGGAGCGTGGGCGACGGGAAGGGAGGGAGCGTGGGCGACGGGAGGGAGTGAGAGTGGGCGACGGGAGGGAGTGAGCGTGGGCGACGGGAGGGAGTGAGCGTGGGCGACGGGAGGGAGTGAGCGTGGGCGACGGAGGGGTGTGCGCGTATACGATGGAAGGGGAGTGAGCGTGGGCGA